CGGCTCCAGCTTTTTTGCCGCCTCAAGCGGCGACGCGGAAAAAAAAAAAAAGATAAAGCCGATCGGTGGCACTTCGGCAGCAGCTCAATCGCGCCGCTTCATTCTTCTGCGGCAATTTGGCAGCGGGTCCTTCACTCCCTCTCTTCCTCTTCGGCGTCACTTCAAAGAGGAAGAGAGGGACTGAGGGACCTGCTGCCAAAGACACGGATGTGCCACCCCTTTCCATTGGCCGCCCCAAGCACCTGCTTCCTTCGCTGGTGCCTGGTGCCGGCCCTATGTATGTGACTTGTTCCCTCATGAGCAGCTGATCGCCCACCCACGGTTACAAGCAACAAGAGCTTCCTTGTCATTTTTGATAGCTGCAGAGAGATTCATTTCCTTTTTTGCTGCGCTTGTCACACTGGACATGTGAGCAGGGCCATGTGAGCATTTGTTAGGGTACTTTCCTAGTTTTCCACAACTGGGGCAGATGGAGTCATTCACACAAGGCACCCCTGTTAGCGTCAAATACTCTGAGGGGTTTTTTTCCCCAGGACTCCACCCACAACTGGACAAATCTTTAATGCTGCTTCACCTCCTTATTTTGTGTCCCTGTTCCAGCTAGCTGGCTGCAGACTCTCTCTATGCTATCCCTATATATCCCGCCGTGAAGATTATCTCTGGTAGGAGCAGACACATTCGAATAGGGGGAATTATGCAGTGGATGACGTTCATCTTTCCTGAAACACAGAGGGGCTGATTCTCCTTGGCCTTGTGACTTTTGCAGTCACTAGTGTGGATGCTACACAAGGCCCAGGGCAACAAGTCACTGGCCCATAGACCACATCACTGATTATTATTTATTATCTGTGTTGTGGGATCACCTAGGAGTGTCAGTCATGGACCAGGGCACATTTTTGCTAGGCACTGCACATGCACAGAACCAAAAGATGGTTCCCGTCCCAAAGAATCTACAATGTAGGCCAGGGGTGGGCAAACTTTTTGGCCCAAGGGCCACATCTGGGCATAGAAATTATATGGCGGGCCATGAATGCTCACAAAATTGGGACTGGGGTGCAGGAGGGGGTGAGGGCTGTGGTTGGGGGTGCGGGCTCCAGGGTGGGGCCAGAAATGAGGAGTTCAGGGTGCAGGAGGGGGCTCCAGGCTGGGGTGCAAGGCGGGGGTGAGGGCTCCAGCTGGGGATGAGGAGTTTGGGGTGTAGGAGGGTGCTCCAGGCTGGGACCGAGGGGTTCAGAAGACAGAAGGGGGATCAGGGCTGGGGCAGGGGTTGGGTGAGGGCTCCAGCTGGGGGTGTAGGCTCTGGGGTGGGGCTAGGGATGAGAGGTTTGGGGTGCAAGAGGGTGCTCCGGTCTGGCATCAAAGGGTTTGGAGGGTGGGAGGGGAAATCAGGGCTAGAGCAGGGGGTTGGGGCACGGGGGGAGGCTAATGGGTACAGACTCCAGGCGGCGCTTACCTCAAGCGGCTCCTGGAAGCAACAGCATATCCCTTCTCCGGCTCCTATGCAAAGATGCGGCCAAGTGGCTCTGCACGCTGCCCCATCCGGAAGGCACCGCCCCTGCAGCTCCCTTTGGCCGCAGTTCCCAGCCAATGAGAGCTTCGGGGGCGGTGCTTGGGGCGGGGGCAGCATGCAGAGTGGAGTCCCCTGGCTGCCCCTACGTGTAGGAGCCGGAGGAGAGCCATTTCGCTGCTTCTGGGAGCTGCATGGAGCAGCCCCCGACCCTGCTCCCCAGCTGGAGCACCAGAGCAGGGCAAGCCCCAGACCCCACTCCCCAGTGGGAGCTCGTGGGCCGGATTAAAACGGCCGGCGGGCGATAGATTGCCCACCCCTAATCTAGGCAGAAGACAAGAGACAACAGATCGAGACAGATGGACAAATGAAGGCGCAAAAGGAAACACTGAGACAATATTGGTCAGCATGATGGGCTGTGGTCTCACCACACCAGCCGCCTAACCACTGTCAAGATTTTTGTAGGCGCCATGGCGAAGGGGAGTTTTGAGACGGGATTTGAAGATGGATAGTGAGGTAACTTTATGGGTGTTTATGGGGAGCTCCTCCCAGGCATGTGGGCTGCACATCGCCTAACAAGCGGGTGTCGTCCTGTCCTCCATTACCTCTCTTCACCAGCGTGTCCCCCAAAGAACCAGAGGTGAAGAAAATGGAGAGCAGGATAAAACCTGCATCAGCCTACTGCTCCCAAGCCACAACAGATGTGTCTGTCATTGTAGCTGGGCGCTTTATAAATGACTACAGATTTTCATTCCCTCCCTCCCTATCTGAAGAAAAATCTTTTTTCCCACATCTACTTTATCAACCGATTTTGATAGCATTTGAAATGGAGTCAGTTTTTTCTTTTTTAGAGGCCCCTCATATTGCGAGGCTCTAAACTGTACCTTAGTTACTTATGCCTTAATCCAGCCCTGCCCCCAAAGGACTAGAAGTGAAGAAAATGGAGAGCACCATTGGAAAAACAACAGAGCAGGGTAAAACCTGCAACAACCTACTACTAAAGCAGGATGGAGAACCTACGGCTCCCAAGCCACAACTGGTGTGTCTGTCATCCTACAGATTTTCACTCACTCACTCACTAATTCTTACAGTGTCCCCAGGAAGTGACTCAACATCATGATCCTCATTTTACAGAGAGGGAAACTGAGGCATAGAGAGACAAAGTGATTTGCCCAAGGTCAGTGTGTGAGCTGGAAACAGAGCTCTGGAGTTCCAGGTTCCCACTGCCTTGGCTGACTCCTTACACCATACGCTCAGCGCACAGAGGTCCCTGATCACAAGCGTGGTTACACTGGGGCTTTATTAACTATCCTACCATTGCCTTGACTCACACCTTCGCCGTGACTTTCGTACTCTACGTAGCTTTCCTCCCCCCCACTCCAAATCAACTGCCGGTCATGCACAGAGGAAGTTTTCTATTGCTAAATCTTGCTCTGCCCGACTGCCCACTTTTTCCTGTCTGAGATCGGCTGCCCAGAGGCACTGTTCTTTACTGACCCTGTACGATTGCTGCAAAAATACAAACCTCCCCTTCATTTCTTTACTGCTGGGTTAAATGAAAATTGCAGATAAGGCAGCTCCTTGACTGGCTGAAGATCTCCTCTTCTAGCTAGGTACAAACACAGCTTTACCCTACGCTCCCCCATTCTACTAGCTCCTGCCATACAAGCACCTTATTGAGGTGATGGACTCCGAGGGTGCAAGGGAATCTGTGTCAACCGACAGAACCTGCCAATCAAGCTACAGTTTAGCAGAGCTGGTGGTCTGGGTTGGAGGTTGGCAAGAAAGAACCTAGGAATTCTTTGGTAAAACCCGTCTTGCCCAGAATGCTGTAATCTCAGAGTGCCACAGAGAGGTTTATACTTCTCTTTATGTTCTTTAAACGCAGATAAACAACCCATCAAGCTGGGAGTGTCAGGTAATTTGTGGATTCTTTTTAGTGCTAAGACTCCAAAGTCCAGCCATTGCTGTTTGTTTAATATCTAGTTACAAGGTAAGTAACTGACAGCCCTGAGGAAAGGGATGGTTCAAGGAGTGAATTTTGCGTCCTTCCTTACTCAGGGCATGTCCACATTTGCCATTTAAAGTGGAAAAAGTCCCTTTTTTGCGCAAAAACCGTGGGAGCGTCTACACTTGCCAATGAAACCA